CCTTGTTCCACCTCTTCTCTTTTCATCTCTCTATTTCTGTCTCTCTTTCTCTCTCTTTACGTATCTGTCTATCTCCCGTTCTCTCTTACTTGCTCTTTCTCCCCCACCAGAAATCCTCCACCTACTACTACCTTCCTCCACTCTTCCTTTCCCCACTAGTGCTCTCACTATTGCATTACAAATAGCTCTCTTGCCTAGGTCTTATTGGTGAGATATAGCTCTTTCTCTCTCTTTCTCTCTCTCTCTTTCTTTGTATAATATACGAGCGATTACGCATGTGTATAGTTTCACGTGTATGTGCACGTCTTCGCTTATACATACTGTGGTTTACATGTTCCGCCAGTGCACATGCACAAGGCGATAAGAGCACACTCTCCGGTCTCCGTCCGTTTTATTGGAGCACGATTCTCCCGTGCTGTCTTCCTGTCTCTCTCTTTCTTTCTCACCCCTACACCTTCTGTCCTGACTCGCCCTGTCTTCCTTTTACAATCTCGCTTTCTCGCTCCCTCTTCTACTCCCCTCTCTTTATCTTTCTCTCAATACTGCTCTAGCGTGTACGAGAAGACGCACACCAGTTCAAACTCTATGCACTGCTTTCCTATCCTTGTCATTCGGATGCAACAGAATAGAAGCACTCCTTGTCGTTGCAATGGTGTAATATAAGAACGAGCATTCACGCCTGCGCGCGCGTAAAATACGTAAGAATGGAGCGAGTGCAGCAGTGATCTACTATTAGCTTCTTCCTAGTTCCTTTAGTCATTCTGTGCCCTTCACAACCTGCTAACACTCTCCTTCCTTCCGTTGTGTTTCCATTCGTCTTCTCTTTCACATATTTTTCCCCTCTTCATTTCTGTACTTGTGATTTCTACTCCGCCCTCTCTCGTTTCTTCTGTTTTGCTTCGCTTCCAGACATTTTGTCTTTTCTCTAGTTCATCATTGGTGAAGTGTCCATTCTTACTCCGCCTTCTATCCTTCCATCTTTTCCATCTTTTTTTTTCTTTTTTCTTCCACTTTGGTAAAGTATTGCTCCTCCTACGCCATTACTTTGACGTTTTAAACATCGTTCTTAATATTAGTTGATTGATCTCGATTTACTTTTCTTCTTTTACATTGATTTTTATGTTTCTGTACTTTTTACATCGTATATCTTTTTATCTGTTATTATCAAATGTAAAATAAAAAAAATGTTTTTGTCAAAATTTAAATCATTGGAAATTTACATATGTATAATTTTCTACTAAATATTTTTTGGCATTTTAGATTATTGAAATACGGCAATTGAAATATGGCAATTTGGGTATGAAAGGGAGAAAAAGATTTTAAGAACGAAAATGTCTTCTATTAAAATATAAATTTACGCGGCGCGTTATCTTCTTTATGCGCTCGTGAAACAACGAACAGTTCATTATTTCAGCCTAGCTTTTCCTTTCTTGTGCCTTTCTCCTATAACTCCAAACAACTCTTCCATTCATTCTTCCTTACTCTTCTTCTTTCTCTCTCTCTCTCTCCCCCCCCCCCCCCCCCCCCCCTCTCTCTCTCTCTCTCTTGTTCTCTCTCTTTTGAAAATACGGAGGCGGTACGTAAAGGTCTCTTTCTCATCAGGAATTATATCGACATGCTGGTCGCTTGTTGCAGCGACTCGGGCGTTTTACGAGCGATCGATCGCGAAATGCTTGAATGATTCGACGGTAAACACCGTCCGATTAATGTCCACCACTCCGTTCGCGACTGGACCACGATGTTTCGTTCGCTCGGTGAACACGTAGCTAGTAATCGGAAAACCAGAGCCGCAATTAAAATCAAAATAATTTTGTTTAATTCAAAGATTTCGATGCTGCAGAAAATATTTGTTTATTCATTAGAACGTTGAGAAATTAAATCGACGATAATGATTTTAATTTCTGCTTACAAATCTTACATCGCATTTCTTGTATTAGAGTGAAAAATAGTATGGATTAATTATTAAAGTTCAGTAAAAACGATTATGCAAAAAAAAACTCGACCGTCAGGAAAGTACGTCAGAAACACGTGGATTAATAAATGTACTGCTTTGTCACCGTTTTATATAATCAAGTCGTCATTGAAGGCGCACGATTGTTTTCATTTTGTAACAAGTCGCGATGGGGTCGTGTCAAAAGCGCGTTATGCAAGTTAACTAAAGATCGAATATTCTCGCACATGCATATTTTCGCGTTGTATTGTTCATTAAACGCCATTCTTAATTGCCTTCGTTAACAAGAATTATAAACGTTTAATTGTCATCATTATTTACTATATAGTAGACGGTTTGCTTGCGACGCGACATGTGAACTTTCATGTCCTCGCTGTTAATTTGCTTGTAATGTGCGGCTAATTTTCCAAAATCCATATTTCGTTCTCATGTTACTATCCCCGCCGCTCATCAGTCCAAGGCGGATTGTCATCCCGATCAGATCTGGTACGCATGACGATGCGTACTCGGGATTGCAGCAATGACGGCTATACTTAGCGCATTAGACGAATCTCATCCGAGGGCCGTCGCGGTCGAAAGGAGGTCGTGGAACAGCTGATGCGGCTGCCGATGCTGCGGATTTGGTGTGATGGTGTGACTCTTTACCATTTTTCAGCTTCCTTCTTCTAGTTGCTGCGGCCTTCCGCGCTCACTGATGTAAAAACAGCTGATGAAACGAAGAATTACAATTTATCATGATTCTCTTAACGCTTAGAAGTTCGCATATATTGTGCACCTAATGACATACTTAACGACGTTACATTGTATAACAATAGTTTTTGATTAACAATTAATTTTGGAATTTATGTTTGCGAAATTTGTTTAGTACATACATGTGATGTATTCGGATTATTTTTTGTAAATATTAAGTAACTAAAATTGTGTTATAAATTTAAAAATTCATATTTTTGTGAACATAATATTCAATTTGTAAACATTTTAAACAATTGTTAGATCGATGACTAAAACTCTGTGCTAAACAATAATTAGTTAATAAAATAAGCAGTAACTTATAATATGTTTTTTTGCTCTTTGGAATATATTATAATAGTTGTTAATTATGGTTATTGATTAATTATATAGGTTAAACAAATGTGAATAACAAATGTTCGACAACCAAGATTTACCCTTTTTGCATAACATGAAAAATGTCAACTGCTCAACTGATCATTTAATCGTTAATCGATGAGAAATCCGTGACCTTTTGGGCAAATATAAACTTGCGAACGAGTAATGTCTCCCTCGTATAGATTTCTCGAGATTAGCATGTCCGATATTAACTATCAGTTGATTTCTTTTTTATAAACATCTGTCTGTTTTACGTATAAAATCTCGCGACCATAAAAATTAAAAAAATAAGTATTATTGACATGCGAAATGATTTATCGATGCGTAACTTGCTTATATAGTCGAATCGTTATCGGACGTGCAAAAGCGGGCGCATTATTTCCGGAAGAAGCGTTGCAATTCTCACAACGATGCATTTCGCGCAAATATTTGCGCTGCGCGTTATCATAGTCTGATACATTAATTGCGCGATATATAATTAATTCATGCCTGATTGCCACGAGCCTGGTCCATCGATATATCCATTGGATATATCGATGCCGCTCGCGCCCCAGCACTATTTATTTATTTATGATGCGGTCTAATTTACAATCAGTACACGAGAAGGCCAAGCGCGTTGCATAATCGCTGCAGGGAGCACGCGGCTGCTGTTTATCATTATGCGCAGAAGAGAGGAAAGAGAGAGAGAGAGAGAGAGAGAGAGAGAGAGAGAGAGAGAGAGAGAGAAGGGGGAGGGAGAGGGAGAGAGAAGAATCACAAGGTCCTCTTCTTCCGTCCCTCGACATACATGCAATTAAACACTGCTCTTTCCCTCGTTCTCGCCTTCGTGGCATGTTTACGCTTCCGAGTTTCAAGCCTTTTCAAATAGCACAGTCTCGCGCTTATGACTTTCTTAATTTTCTATTTATTTTGTATATTATAATCTGATTCAGATTATTTGCTTTTTGATGTTAAATGTAGTAAAAAATATTTTCTCTATTAAATTTAATAATTGTTAAAATTGTAAATATGAAAACGTAAATTTGA